CAAAACCCCAGTCTGATCCTCGCGGGGACGCGCAGAAGCTGAGATCATTAGGGCCCGCGCAGCGCGCAGGACGTGGAGCCCGCCGCGCTCGAGAACCACAATGCGCTATGGCAACTCCTTCGAGATGGAGCCGCGTCGTGAGGGTCCGCCGCAGCTGCCAGGAGGAGTTGCTATAGGGTTGCCCATGTGCTGCGGACGCGCGACGCGGAGGCAGCCCGCAGTGTGAGATCTAGTGTCCGCAGTTGGGCGGACGAAAGATCAATCGGCAGCCGTCGATAGATATGTTTTCGCGCGCTCGTTGGGGTAACTTTTTTGATAAAGTGGATGAAACAGCAAAACGCTCGCCGAACTCGACGTGCCAGCCTCAACCAGCCTCGATCGACACGACGAGCGCCGGGCCGGCGGACGCGGGGAGGAGAAGGAGGAGGACGACGACGTCCGGCCCGCGGACGACGCCGGCGTCTTCGAGCTCGACGTGCACGAAGTGCGCCGCAGGCCGTCGTCGTCCGCGCGCAACCCATCGTCCACCGATGCGGCGCCTGTCCGCGGCGTCCCTGTGCCTCCTCGCGAAGCGCAGCATGTCGGTGGTCGTGGACGAGGCGTGCGCGCCGCGGCTGCGCCTTGCGCTCGTGAGGCACGGCGAGAGCATGAACAACGTCCACGAGGCCGTCAGCGAGGCCGCCTACGTCGCCAACAGGCACGCGGACCCGGACCTGTCGCCCCGGGGCTACCGCCAGGCGGACGTGCTCGGCGGGTTCCTCGCGAACGCGACGCGGTCCAACTTCCTCGGCGTGCACCCCATCGACGAGGTCTGGGTCTCGCCGCACCGGCGGACGCTGCTCACGGTCGCGCCCTTCGCCGCGGCGAGCGGGCACCGCCCGCGCGTGAACACGAAGCTCTTCGAGGCCGGCGGCGTCTACGACGCGAACGACGCCTACGACGCGTTCGCGGCCCAGGGCGGGCTCACGCGGTCGGAGATGGCCGCGCGCCACCCGACGTACGCGCTGCCCGACGAGGTCACGGAGGACGGCTGGTACGCGCCGCCGACGCCGGGATCGGGCAAGGAGACGGACGACGAGTGCCGCGACCGCGCGCTGGGCGTCGCCGCGGACGTCCGCGCGCGCGCCGCGGCGCTCGACCGCGACCTCAACGTCGTCGCGGTCGTCCACTACGACTTCATCTGCGCCTTCCTGGACGCGCTCGTCGCGCCGGCCACGCGGGGGCCCTTCCTGCGCTGGAGGCACTTCAACACCGGAATCACGGTCGTCGACGTCGACGGGGCCACGGGTGCCGCGAGCTTCGTCGCGCAGAACGCCGTCGCCCACCTCCTCGACGAGCGCGACCCGGCGCTCCTCTCCGGCTTCCCGCTCTAAGGTTCGATCCAGGGACGGCCGGGCGTCGGTCTCGGATCCGCGGCCGTCACGAGAGAGGCATAAAACAGGGGCGTTCCTAGAGCCCGGGCCCGACGGGCGTGTCGGGCTCGTCGTCGGAGTCGACGATGGCGTCGAAGCGCGCGTAGTCCGTCGTGTAGCGGTCCTGGATCGTCGCGACGGAGATGGAGACCTCGCCGCCGCCGTCGTCGTCGTCGCCGTCGTCGGACGTGTCGTAGTCGCTGAAGTCGTCGTCGTCGTCGTCGTGCTTGATGCGGAAGTCGACGTCGTCGCCGTCGCCGCCGTCGTCGGCCGCCGCGGGCGCCTCGAGCGCCGCGCGCGCCGCGAGCGACTCGGGCGTGTCGTACCAGTCGAAGCGCGCGAGGTGGAGGATGTAGAGCACGCAGTCCGAGGGCAGGCCGCCCCAGCCCATGGTCAGCGCCGCGAAGGCCGCCGCGCAGCCGTTGCGGAACGTGCCGCTGAACGCCGCGTTGCTCCTCGGGCCCCAGAGGATGTAGCGCGCGCCGTAGCTCAGCTTGCCGACGAACGTGCGCCGCCGCCGCCAGGGCGACCCCCACCAGGGCCCGTCGCCGGAGAAGGGCCGCGGCGCGAGGTGCGCGAGGCCCGGGTAGACGACGATGAAGTCGTCCTCGTGGCAGATCTCGGACCGCTGGTTGTCGTAGACGATGCCGTCGTCGCCGTACTCCGCCGAGTGGACGTAGATGCCGTAGACCTCGCCGGGCTCGAAGACCATGGGGTAATCGAGCTCCAGCCGCTCGAAGTTGCGCCACGACGGCTTGTGCTTCCGCGAGTAGCACGGCGCCCACGCGTCCATGTCCTCCTCCTTGCCGCCGAAGCCGCCCTTGGCGTACCAGACGCTCATCTCGCCGAGGCCGCCCCGCACGAAGACGCTGTCGACGATGACGCAGGACACGGGGCGGTCGAACTTGACCTCGACGTCGAACATGACGCCGTTGAACGTGTGGTCCTCGTGGTCCTCCGTTTCCACGGTGTAGCTGTCGTGCACGAGGTAGTCGGCGTCCTCCTTGAGGAGGAGGGCCGACATGGCTCGCAGGGGGGCGGCGCGTTCGCAGCGCTGGTGGCAGCAATCCCGCGCGCAGCCAGCTCGAGCTCCGCCGCTTTTGGCCAAGGTCAAGATGATGTTCAAGTATGCTTCAACTTTACCCAGAAGCGCACCATACAAGCTTACGCACTTGCTCACGCCAGCCCCCCCATCCAGTCCAGGAGCGCGGCGTTGACCTGGGCCGGGTTCTCGTCGTGGGGGCAGTGGCCTCCGTCGATGGAGACGCGCGTGACGTCCCTGCCCAGGGCCGTCGCCGCGGCCTCGTAGCGGTCGCCGATGGCCGACACGACCCAGGGGTCCCGCTCGCCCCAGCAGAGGAGGAGCGGCGCCGCGAGCCGCGCGAGGAGCGCGTCGACGGAGCGCGCGGGGTCCGCGGGGCCGTTGCCGTTGCGCGACACGATGCGGTAGAAGACCTCGGCCGCGTTGGGGTCGCGCGCGGGGTACTCGATGCTCGCCACGAGGTCGTCGTCGCACCGCTCGGGGAACACGGGGTAGACCTGGCGCAGCACCTGCTGGATGCGCAGCGGCTGCTTCGTGACGACGAAGGCCGCGGCGACGACGGCCCGCCGGACGGCCGCGCCCAGCGCCGCGAGCGCCTTCGCCGCGGGGCCGGCGTCCTCCGCCGCGAGCCGCGCGGCCTCCTCCGCGGCCGCGACGTCGGGCGGCGGCGCGAAGCGGCCCGCGCCGTTGAGCGACGCGACGCCCCGCACGAGCTCCGGGTGCAGCGCCCCGAGCGCGAGCGCCGTGAAGCCGCCGATGGAGTTGCCGGCGACGACGGCCCGCGCGCCGGACCCGCAGCCCGCGACGTCCCGGAGGAGCGCCGCGCACTGCTCGACCCACAAGTCGCTGTCGTAGTCCATCACGGGCTTCTCGCTCCGCCCGAAGCCGCAGAGGTCGACGGCGTAGACGCGGTAGCCGGCCTCGGCGATGGCGTTCACGTTCGCGCGCCAGTGGTATGAGGACGCGCCGAAGCCGTGCACCAGCAGCACCGGCGGCGCGTCCGGGGCGCCCACGGCGACGTACGACGTCTCGATGCTCGTCACGCCCGCGTCGGCCGCGCAGGCGAGCGTCGGCGCGTAGGCGAAGGTTTTCGACACCAGGGTGCCGTCGGCCTGGGCGACGCCGGCGGGCGACCATTCCAGCGCGGCGGCGCGCAAGGTCGTGCTGCGTATTTGCGGCTGCGGCCGCGGCAGGAGCGCGGTAGCGCCGACGACGAGGAGGGCGGCGCGCAGCATGGTCCTTGGCGGCTGTTGCGGCGGCGCGCGCGGACAGCTCGTGCCGATCGCGGTGGCGCTCGATGAACCAACGCGTCAACGAAGTTGCGTGCACACAAGTTGAAGTTGAAGAGCTTCCACGGCTCCGATGTGCGCCACGAAGTTGGGGCTGCCGCGCGTCGCACCGAGCCTGCGGTAGCCGCACCGAGCCTGCGGTAGCCGCACCGAGCCTGCGGTAGCCGCAGGGAGCCTGCAGTAGCCGAACCTTGCGGTAGCCGAACCTTGCAGTAGCCGCACCTACGGATGAGCAAGCACCGCCTCTTTCGCTTCGAGGGCGAGCGGTGGTACCTGCGCGTGGGCGTCCCGCGGTCCTGGATCGACCGGCCGCTCGCGGCGCTCCTGCAGCGCGTCGCGGCCGTGCTGCGCGCGCGCCGCGACCTCGTGGACCCGGCGGTCTGGGTGCCGCGCGCCGCGGAGCTCGACGTCCTCGACGACGCGGGCGAACCCGTGGCGCGCGACGCGCCGCTGTCCGCCGTCTTCTTCGACCGCGCGGGCGGCGAGGTCGTGCTCCGGCGGCGCGACGCGCGCGCCGCGCCCGACGCGGTCCTCGATATCGACGCCGACGCGCTCGCGCTCGCGTTGGCGTACGGCGAACCGCGCGCGGACCAGCGCCGCGTCTGCAAGCGCTTCGCGGAGGCCGTCGGCGGGCTCCTCGCCCGCGTGACCTGCGACGGACCCTTCGACGCGCCGCCGCTCGCGTGGGCGTTCCCGCGCGCGACGGCCGTCTCGGCGCGGCGTCCGTTCCGCCGTCGAGGAGGAAAACCACGTCGTCGTAGGTATCGGCGCGCCGCGCGGCGCCGACGGCCCTCGTCGCGGCGGTGTCCGCGTGGGCGTCCCTCGCGTCGCTCGACGTCCGCGACGGCGACCTCGACGACGCGGCCCTCGCGCGCGTCCTCGGCGCCGTCGCGCCGTCGCTGCGGGCGCTCGACGCGTCGCGGACGGGCTTCGGGCGGCGGTCGCTCCTCGCGTGCCGGTCGCTGGCGCTCGAGGCGCTCGACGTCTCGGAGACGCCCGCGGCGCGCGCGAGGACGCTCGACGCGCCGCCGACCGTCGTATCGCTCGCCGCCGCGCGGTCCCCGCGCTGCGGCGCCGACGCGACGTTCGACGACGGCGAGGAAGACGAGGCGCGGCCCGTGCGCGGGGGAAAATTTCGCGCGCTCGTGCTCGACCGCCGCCGGCCGCTGCGAACCGGCCTGCTCCGGGGCTCGGGCGCCGCGCGCCTCCGGAGCCTGTCGCTCGCGGACTGCGGCGTCGACGACGGCGTCCTGACGTTGCTCCAGGATACGCGCCTGCGCTACCTGGACGTCGGGCGGAACCCGGACATCTCCGACCTCGGGCTCTGCGCATACGTCGCCGCCGCGGGCGGCGACCTGTGCCACCTCGGCCTCGGCGGGAACCAGGACCTCGGCGAGCGCTGCGTCGCCGCGCTCGCGGCGTGCGCCCCGCGCCTCGAGGCGCTCGACGTCGAGCTCCTCTGGCGGCTCACCGCGGAGCCGCTCGTCGCGCTCGTCCTCGCGACGGCGCTGAGCCGCGTCTACCTCCACGGCTGCGGCTCCGTCTCGCGGGCCGAGCTCCGGGACCGCGCGAAGAAGGAAGGCCGGGACTGCGACGCCGTCGCCGCGCCGCGCGGGAACGGCGCGTCCCGGCTCCGCGCGGCCTGGTTCTGGGCGGAGCGCGGTACTGCAAGGTAAGGGAAATGTTGCTTCAAGGTCTCGCTGTGGCAAAACCTTCGACTCAGTCGCGAAACGCGGACGACGCTCTCCGCGTCGCGGCGACGCGGAGAGCTCTGCCGCCGAGCGCTGCCGCGACGGGAAGCAGCCGGGCGAAGCGCTGCCGCCGCGCGAAGCCGTCGGCCGCGAAGCCGTCCGCCGCGCGCAGCGCAGCGGCGCCGCAGCCATGCTGCCCAAGAAGAGCATGCGCGAGCGCATGCGCGAGGCGAGCAAGAGCATGGCGACGAAGGCCGCGGCGTCGCTGAAGAAGGGCGCGGCCATGGCGGGCGAGGGCGCCAAGCTCGCCGCCGCCGCCGCCGCCAAGTCCGGCGCGGAGCTCGTGAAGAAGATCGAGTCGGCGGAGCCGGGCAAGGCGACCGTGCGGCGCCTCCTCGAGGGCGCGCTCAACGACTGGGTCGAGGGCGGCCTCGGCGCGGAGTGGCGCGACGAGAACGACGACGTCCTGCCGGAGGAGGAGGACGACGACGACGACGGCGACGACGAGGGCTTCGGCGGCGCGGCGGACGCGGCCGCGGCGGCGGCGGCGGCGGCGGCGGCGGCGGCCGGCCGGAGGGACGCGGCGGACGCGGCCGCCGCGCCCGCGCCCGCGGCGAAGGCGGCGCCCGGCCGCAAGGGCGCGTCGCTGAGCGTGAGCCTGCGCCGCGGCGAGCTCGTGCTCCGCGACGTGCGGCTCCGGAAGCGCGCCCTGGAGCCGCTCGGCGCGAGCTGCCTGAGCGTCGAGGCCGGGTCCGTCGGCGAGGTGCGCCTCGTGCTGCCCTGGGCGCACCTGGGCAGCCGGCCCGTGCGCGTGCAGCTGCGGCGCGTGGCGCTGACGCTGCGGCTCACGCGCGACGACGAGGCCGTCGAGGACGACGCGGCCAAGGACGGCGACGTGCGGCGCCACGAGCTCGACCTGCTCGAGGCGCTGCGGGAGCACTGGACGGCGCTGAGCGAGCAGGGCGAGGACCGGAACGCCAAGGGCTTCGGGCGGCGCGTCGCGGCCAGGGCAGCGAAAAGGTGCGAAATTCCCAACTTCAAAGGCTCATATCTCGGCCGTTTCCCACTCGTTTCGGCTGATTTTTGGACGAGCGATCATCTCTCGGAACGGCCTCGAAGCGTGGATGCTCTTTCCGGAACGCGCGCGCGCGGAACACTCACGTTGAAGCGACGTTGAATCACTCTTGTGCTGCCCAGGTCGCGGCGCGCGCGTTCGAGAAGGTCGACGTGGAGATCGAGGACGTGGCCTTCTCCTACGTGGGCGCGGGCGCGACCTTCGGCGTCGTCCTCGGGTCCCTCGTCGCCCGGGACGACGAGAAGAAGGACGGGCGGCGGCGCCTCGCGGGCGACGTCGCGGGCCTCGGCGTCTCGGAGGCGCGCGGCGACTCGCCGCCGCTGTGGCTCGTGCCGCCGGCGGGCTTCGAGGCGCGCGTCGAGTCGAACGCGCCCCTGCCGAACACGCGGCCGCCGCACCCGGGCGCGGCGCCGACGGCGCCGCCGGCGAAGCGCGGCCAGGCCGCGGGCTGGGTCGTCCGCGCGGCCGCGAAGCAACGTTTGGACGTCGCCGTCGCCGCGACGTCCGTGCGGACCGCGCTCGAGACGGTCGACGCCTACTTCGTCGCGTCGCGCCGCGTCGCCCTCCGGCCGTTTTTACCAGCAAACCCGCGGCCCGTGACGCGCGCGACGGCGCGGGGCTGGTGGCGCTACGCGTTCGCGTTCGCGGCGCGCGAGGCCGCGATGCACCGGCCTAGGGACCGCTGGGAGACGGCGATCCGCCTGCTCTACGTGCGCGAGCGCTACGTGCCCCTCCGCTGCCGCGCCGTCGCGCCGAAGAAGCAGCGCGCGAAGTTCCCGCGCCTCGACGCCGAGAGCGCGCGCGAGCTCGCGGACCTCGAGGCGGACGCGACGATCCCGCTCCGGGCGCTGCTCGCGTTCCGCGAGCAGGCGCTCGCCCTCTTGCGCGACGGCGACGACGGCGACGCGTCGGACGCGCCGCGGAAAAAGCCCCTCGTGCTCTCGGGCCGCGACGCGGCGAAGCGCGCGGCCGCGACGCTGTCCAAGTCGTTCAAGGACGGCGACGCCGCCGCGGCGGCACCGGCGGACGAGGCGGTCGCGGAGTTCGCCGTCGCCGTCGCCGTGGACTGCGGGGCGCTGGGCGTCGCCTGGACGTCGCAGGACGGCGAGGCGACGGCTCTGGACGTCCGCGGCGCGCGGCTGCGACTCGACGCGGACCGCGACGGCGGGCGGTCGTGGACGGCGACGGCCGTCGGTCTGGGCGTCCGCGGGGGCGACCGCGACTACGTCGACGTCGCCGACGGCGGCGGCGACGATTTCGTGCGGTGCGTCGTCGTCGAGGCGCCCGTGGCCGGCGACCTGGAGCGCGCGCGGCGGGTCGCGCGCGTCGACTGCGTGGTGGCGCCGTGCGCCGTCGCGTTACCCCCGCTCGCCGCCGTCGCGCGGGGCCTCGACGACGCGAGCGATTTATCCCTGAGAACGCTCGCGGGCGAGGTGCTCGCCTACAAGAGCTACCGCGCGGAGCTCGTCGAGAGCCGGCGGCGCAGGAAGCCGCGGCCGACGTTCCCGGAGTGCGACGCGCAGATTTTGAAGCTCGACGTCGCGCTCGACGGGCCAGGGGGCGACGTGCCGCCGCTCGCCGCGTGTCTCGCGGGCGTGCGCTGCGTGCGGACGTTGAGCGACGCGGGCCACGACGCGACGACGACGACCGTCGAGGGGACCCTCGGCGCGGCGCTCGGCGCGACGGTCCTCGCCGACGCGCGCTTCGCCGGAAGGCGCGCGCGCGACCGGTCCACGCGGTCCGCGAACTCCGTCGTCGACATGCCGGCGCTGGACGTGTCCGCCGCGGACGGCTTCGCCGACGCCGTCCGGGCGCACCTCGCGCCGCTCCTGGACCGCGGGGACGACCTCCGGCGCGCGCGCGACCGGCGACCGCCGGCGGACCTCGCGCACGCGACGATCACGCTGCGGTCGCCGGGCTGGGCGCTGCGGCTCCCG